TTATATATTACCTATAGTTTCATTTACATATTCGTCATTGTCATTTTCTATTTTTTCTTGCAAAACCTGAATTATTCCTTGGTAACAGTCCAAATTAGCATCACAATTTAGGTACCGACAATTCCATCTTGTATTGCTTATTCTACCAATTGTTTTAATTTTGAGCCCCAACTTTTTGCATGTCGATGAGTCGTTGATTTTTTGTGGGATAAGAAAAATGAATATATAAACTGTCTAATCTATTAAATAGACATTTTTTTTATGACAATTCTATTTAACTAAATTTTACAATACTTCTTTTACACTTACTTTCACAAATATGTACAAATCGACAATGACCAGATTAACCTGGTGAGCCATCCAATGGGTATAAGCTGCGCATAAATATTTGATTTAGATTTTAGCTTGTACACCATTTCATTTTCCAGCCATAACACTAGCCCCATTATATGATTGACCAATAATTTAAGCTTTGTCACTTAAATTACAAACTATCAAATAATCTAAAATATGTAGACTTAAAGCTTGGGCATCAAGTTTAATAGAACAATCAATAAATCTGAGAAATCTTTCATGTTATTTATATGTTTTGTATACCTAATACATAAAGCCATAGCCATTTGTTCTTTTTTATAACAACTGAAAATACATAATATAAGTATCTACAATAATAGGTATAGGTAGGTAATACTTAATAATATGAATTATTTTATTTTTTAAGTCATTAATAAGTACTTTTTACTAAGCGTGCTTCGTCACACATCACATCAAATATACCATCTCTAATTTCAATATTTCATGTATAATTGTGTCACAGACTAATATGTTGCTCTTCTATTAAATGACTTGTATAGTTGGTAGTATTTTTGAATTTTTCAGCAAAATCTGGTACATAATATTTGGAAAACAATATACAAGTTACTTTAAAATTCCCTGAAATATGAATATTTCATAAATATTAATTAAATTAAAAATATACAAATAGTAATTATTGAATTAAGTATAATTAATTATATTAAAACAATTTAAAAAAATTATATTCTTAGTTGAATTTAATTATTGGTATATATTGGAGGCACATTTCAGCTTTAAGATATTTGTTTTAAATTTTGGTACCTTAACATGTACCTTGATTTAAAGATTTCTTACTCTCTGTGATCTCTGTCGGCAAGTCCTTGAAAGGCTAAGTGAATAACCATGTTTATTATAGTTTCAACATGTTTCCTATTAGATTCAACCAACAGTTCATTATTTGACAACAATAAATTGAGTATGCACATTACTGTGTAATTTTCCAGATTTATATCCGGTCCACCGAGCAATAGATGTTAAATGAACTTCAGTTCCACTATATGCTTCTAGTTTTGATAACTTATTTCTTTATATTATATAAATAATTAATATATTTTTTTGAATAACTAAAATATTATAATACAATTATGGTTAAGTAGGTACCTTAGTTTTAGGTTGATCCCGTGATTGCCAATAACTATTACTTATATTGATTACAGCAAAAAATATAACATATGAAAATATAATAGAAAGCAGCTCCGAAGAAATTCAACCAAAAAAAATTAAGAACAGTATGAAAAGAGGCGACTATAAACGATGGACTAATATTGAAATGCAGGCCATTAAAAAACAACTAAGTCAGTTCATATCGTTGAAAAAAATCCCACAACAACATGATTGCCTTTTGGCAATGAAAAACGAACCAGCGTTAAGAAATAGAACCTGGAAAAATATTAAATTTCAAGTTGCTAACATTATAAAAAAAGATTCTAAATAATACCTACCTACAATAAACATTTATTAAGTATGTACCTATATACAAGTTTCATTATTATAAAAAAAATAAAAAAATAATTGATTAAAACTTACCTCTAGGCTCAAGCTGTTTGTACCTATTTATCGTTTTTTTTTTTTTTAAATTGAAATATAAAACAAGGTGTTGATTTTTTTTACTTAATTTGTATTATTTAGGAACAAATATTGTAATTATTATTACGTAATACTTAATAGTTACTTATTACCTATATTACGTCTGTACTGTAATCTGTAACAAAATATTGCCCAACTATCTATAACGTGGATATTACAGCTTCAAATATTCCAATCAGAAAAAAATCAAATATTAAGTAAACAATTACAAAAAAAAAACTATTATAGCCTATAGATAGGTATAATATTATAGTGAAGTGTAGTCGTGTAAGTTACACCTACCATGTGGCATGTATAATTTATTATAAATGTATAAATCAGTGTTATGCTGATGACACTCACTATGACACTATTCTAACTAGTAACTACTAAGTATAGTTTATTCCAAATTTCCAAATAAAAATGGAAAAAAATGAGGACGAAACCGCGTTACGTTCGAGAATGTGCAGTCTCGTTGGTTGCCGTCAATGCGCTGCCGACTACTGACCAATCACAGCGGTTCTACCGTTCCGAGGATGTGCAGTTTTTCAATTCTTGGAATAGAGTACCTATACTTAGTAGGTTCGGCCGTATGGGGAATATTATAAGTTAGGTATAAAAATAAACAATAAACCATAGTACCTATCGGCTACCTACCTATAAATAAGCATCATGTCTATATTTTACCGTTGGCCCTTGGTCATTAATAATTATAATAATATCGTAATCGTAGGTAATAAAAATCTTCTCTAGAATTTCTCTAGAAGTAAAGACTTATTTATTATTCCCTACCATCTAAAAAAATCTGGTACTGATTCATTTTTCCCGCGCGCGTTAAATTTTACTAACAGCATCTGTTAAATTATTTATAAATAATTAAATAAAAAAATAAATAAAATACGATTGGAGGTCACAAGTCGTCTGTGTATGGGTAATTGGAGTCCATTAGGCACTGGATTTAACAAGAGATGCTTAAATTCTTATTTTTTTTTTATTCATTATTTTATATTTTAACTTAGAATCAATATATTAAAATTATTCTGTGTAGTTTGATCTTTGAACGTATCATCTAAACCCATTATTAAGGGTGGAAGGTAAAAGGACTGTTAAATCCTTATGGAGGCAGCAAACTACACTGCACCTGTATAGGTGTGTGTGTGTGTGTGTGTGTGTGTGTGTGTGTGAAGTGTGTGAAGTGTCAGCGGTCTGAACCCCCCAAATCATACTACTTATATGATATATTAATTTAAAAAAAAAATGCAAAAACCTGCATGTTAAAGTGTCTATCAAGTCAATCATCACCGTTTAAGACGAAACTAAAATGAGCAATCCGTCTATCGACTATCACCTACATAACTACATGTAGTAGGTATATCACATTGAGTGGTATGTGCCTTCGCATGTCCGGTGCCTTTTCTTATGTAAAAAATGTAAAGTCGAAAACCGTGTTGGAGTGTCTAGCAAGTCAGTCATCTCAAGTCAAAATCAAATTAACTTTCAAGTTAGCCACCTAGGTAGGCAATCCGAAATAAAATACAAACTATATTTTTATAACAATCATGGACTTTTTGAAAAAATATTCAATTATAATAATTCCTAACAAAACAAATATAATATGTACCTATTTATTGTGTGATATAATATGACAATGACTTTAAATAATAATAATGTACGATATGTTCCTGTATTATTATATTATTATTTAATTTATATGAAAAATAACGTGAAAAAAAAATGCAAAAAAAAGTCAGGTTCCGGGCGGCCGTGTAGACCTTACGGCAATGCCAGATTTGACGCTCGGGCAGCGTACGACGGATTCGAACCCGGGACCTACGTGTTTCCTACCTAACACCTAACCTACTTGGACACAGTTTGAGATGTGAAATACGATCAAAACATCAACACTTAAGCCGTGCGTCTACGGAGCGACGTAAACCGATATATTCGATGTACATCGATGTAATCGCATATAATTCGCTTGTAATACGCGCATCTCCCATATATATATTTAACGGGGCGTGTGAAAAGCGTTTTTCGTTAATAATTATTAAATCATAGGGAAAAATTAAATTATACACGTATATTATACATGTATATATACGCGTACGGTCGGTCGGTCGCCGGCGTAATTTATAAACGCGATTGCGAGGCGAACGAACCGATTTCGGGGGAAAAGCCCATATAAACGGCTTTAAAAACTAAAAAGACGTCGACTACACGATTCGGGCACAAACGGCGTGCGAATAGACGAAACGGTGGGAGAAAAGGAAAAAATCTGCAAAAAAGTCCGGTCGGGAGTGTATTTTTCGATCGATATTGCGACCGCTTCGGACGGCGCACAAATATAAACCGCACACCGGCAGCTTCGAATTAAGTATAAAAAAGGACCAAAAGGGTCGAAATCGTGTAAAAACAACTAATTTTCCGAAAATTTCAAAAATCGGCGAATGATAGGAAAAGTGGTGATAACGAAAAACGTTTTAAAACCGACCGCCGCCGTTGCGAAGGTACGCGATTGGTCGCGCTATAAGGAATCGACGGGACTTGGCCGGCGGGCTGGGGAAACGGAGCGGTGCTTCATTTTTTACTCCACGGTTTCACTATAACTGCGTTTTCCGTTCCACGGGTTGCTTGTAGACAGCTGATTTCCTTGTAATTTTATATATTAGGATATATTTATTTAATTGTAACTGCATTATATAATATTATTAGAACGGTGATAATTTCCGAATACAGTAAAATAGTAGGTATTGTAAAATGGGTGTACGAAGCGTCGAAGCATATTCGTTCATAAATATCCATTATCCATTATATTTCAAGAACGAGTACACACTTGAATACTTGATCTTTCAGCGTAGAACAATACGAATCTGAGTACAATAGTAACTAAAAAAAAATGTACCTATTGTACCGATGTAACGAGTATTTTGGAATCGGTATTTTATTGTAACTGTACCGATTGGAACGATTCCACAAAAGGAACGATAATTCCCACCACTACTACCTAGTTACCAAATTGCGAAGTGTCAATTAGTGTTTAAATGTCTAAAGAATAATGTTTGATTGTTATTTTTATTAAAATGTCTAAATTAAATAAGAGTTTGGTTTGCTTATGCGGAAAACAAAAATCCAATTTAAATGATACCAATTGGAAAAGACACATAAGTGCATGTAAAATAGTGGTTGAAAGGTCACAAGTTTCAAAAAGTATTTCAACATTCTTTGTTAAAAAACGAGACAATTTGTTGGCGAGGCATCAACATCAGGAAAAAGTAAGTAATGAATTCAACTCTTATAATTTAACTATTTAAGATTTTGAACTACTACCTATACTATAGTAGTATACCCAGCCTATAATATAACTAAAAATGTGTTTTTTATGTACCTAGAAGAAAAAAAAGCACACAATGTGGATAGAACCACGAATAAAAATTCTATTGGCGTTCATGTTACAGAAGCTGAAGGTAAGGCAAATTATTTTTAAATATTGGTTGATATTCTGTTGTATGCATATACTTTTTAATATAAAATGAAAATGTGTGCGCAATTCGTAAAGATGTAACTCATATTGTGAGGGTAAATGCCCATGAGCTAAAAGGTAGTACCTATATAGGTACCTATTATATGTAATAAGTAATAACTAATAAGTAAACAATTAGTGATTAATTATTAAAATGCTATTCCTTGAAAGTTGCATAAACTATTATAATTTTAATATTCTTTTATTATTCTGATTTTCTTATATTTTATAGAGATTGCAAATCTAGAACTGCCGAGCATGGAGGCAAATGAATATGCTGATGTTATTCTGGAAGTCTTGCAAGATGATGTTGCTGAACTAGAAGGTAATTATTTAGTACACCTTTTGAATTGATATAATTACTGATCTCCTAAAATATTATTAATTTTAGTTGTTATAATATAATAATATCTAATACCTAATATTTATTTATAATATAAATAAATTATATTATAATATTATAATTTATTTATTCATTTTTTATTTTTGTTTGTAAAAAGATTGTTATGAAGATCATACTACCAATGAAGTTGAAAAAAATATTAAAAATATTATTAGCGAAAAAGTGTTGAACACTGATGTTACAATGATAGAAGGTAAAACTTTTAACATACTAATTTTATTATAAATTACTTGTATTGAGTGTATTGTATAATGATCAAAACTAGGAACATCAAAACTCGTTAAATTTTAAAATTTAAATAATTTAATTACATTAATGTTATATTTACAGTGCCTGTGTCCATTGATTATGCGTCTAATAATAATGTAATGAATGAGACAAATATATCTAGCGAGGATCACACATTCACACCACAGACAAGATAGTATGACACCATTCAGTACTGAAACAGAAGGTATTATAACAAATATTTAAATTTTTTAAAAGAACTATAATAGTAGGTATAATACATATTCTCAATATTTCTCATGTGTTTGGAATGTGTGTATAGTAAAATAAAAATACATACATACAAAAGTTTACAAACAATCAAACTTCTATTTTTCTATCTCTAGTTATTATAATTTTGTATACAAATAAAATAACTATTATTATCATAATTTGTGCTATGGTAATTTTACATATTGAAGTATGTTTATTTCTTATTTTATTTGACCTTGTTTATTTGTTTATTATAGATTTGTTTAATGATGAAAATACTACAAATAAAACTGTTAATGATTATGGACACATTTCCAATGATCCAGTCAGCTTTTGTCGCTCAAGGCCATTTTCACATGATGTTATTGAATATCTTATAAAAAAAGGACCCTTTCAGCCCACTGAGGATGATTTGGTAAATTGTGAATTTCCAAAAGATAATTCTGGTCGGTCATTCCATGCATCATGGTACTGGAAAGATGTACCGGGTTGTGCTCCAGTCAAACTTCAGTGGTTAAGTTACTCAATAATAGAAAACAAAATCTTTTGTCACCCATGTATATTAATTGGGCGAAATACTAAAAAAGCATGGACATTAGATGGTTTTCAAGCATGGTCAAGAGTAATTTCCAGTATAGTTAATCATGAATGTACTGATGCGCATATTGAAGCAACATTAAAACTTAAGTTAAAAAGTATTTCTTTACCTTTGATACCTGCAATTCAAGAACAAAAAAAAAAAGAAGTTGCTTTTAACAAAGAAGTAGTCAAAGATCTTATTGATATAACTATTTTTTTGGGTTCTAATGACCTTGCTTTTAGAGGAAATAGAGAAGGTTGGAAGGATAGAAATAGAGGTAATTTCTTATCACTTGTTGACTTATTTTCAAAAAGATCACCATGTATGGCAGCTTATACCTCTAAATTGCAAAATTCGAGTAAAAAATCCCACGTTAGTTTTATTTCTAAACTTACTCAAAATCAGCTGATTGATTCTGTAGCAGAAAGTATCTTGACAGTAATTCGAACAGATGTTAAGTATGCCAAATTTTTCAGTTTATCTATTGATAGCACTTTTGATGCATCCAGGAAGGAACAAGTTGCATTCGTCATTCGTTATGTTCATAATAAAACTTCAATTATTTCAGAGCGTCTTATAGCAGTTAAAGTGTCCTCAAATACTAGTGGACGTGAGTCATTTTCTCTATTTCAACTAATATGTTCAGAGAAAAATTTAGACTGGAAAAATGATCTAATCGGTCAATCCTACGATGGAGCTCCAAATATGAGAGGACAATTTGAAGGTCTACGAAGCCACGTCCAAAAAGTAAATTCATCTGCCTTGTATGTATGGTGTCATGCACATCGCTTAAACTTGGTATTATCTCGTGCAGTTGGGTGTTGCAAAGATGCAATGGATGTTTTTGGAAATTTGGAATCAGTTTTTACATTTCTTACTGCAGGAACGTGTAGAGTAGAATGTTATGAAAGACATTATAAACAACTTTATCCTAAACAACAAATGCGTCGGCTGAAAAGAGTCGCTACAACTCGTTGGATGTCTTTCTCTGTTGCTCTTGTTACAGTATTACACATTCGAAGCTGTTGTAGCGGCCCTTGATGAAATACAATCCAAAGAAGGTCCCGATGATAAAAAAATTAGACATCTTGCAGGGTGTCTAAGTGACTATCTTTTATCCGAGCGATTTTTGTTGATTTCTCATTGTTTCAAAAAAATATTTAGTATTCTTGCTCCAGTAAATCAAATTTTCCAAAAATCTGATTTAGACTTGTTAGCAGCTGTGAATTGCATTGAAGAAACTCGTGAATCTATTCGAAAACTTCGTTGCAATACAGTTTTTATGGACATTGTTAAAGAAATGGAATATTTTGAATCTTCTTCGACATTTTGTTTTACTAAATTAAAAGAATCTCGCATTAGGGGAAAAAAATTAATGCCAGGTGAAACATCTCAAGACGACTCAATTCAAGATCCATTGCATAACATAAAAGTAAATTCATTTTTCTATTGCATAGATATAATAGACCAATCATTTGAAACTTATTTTTCTAAAGAATCTCTGGAAGTTTATAAAGACCTTTCTCTGTTTAGTAGAAACGATTAAAAGAAGTTTTTAATAATACAAGTAAATTACCTACTGATGCATTTTATAATTTTGCAAAGATTTATAATTCTTTTATAAATCAAAATGAACTTATTAAAGAATACTTACATTTTTCTAAAGTATATTTCAACTTTGAATTGACTTCAAATCTTCCAAAAACATTCCATGAAAACAATCTTGAAAGTTATGATAGCCAAGATGACTGTGATAGTGAAGACTTTGAAAATATTGAAGATGAAAATTCAAAAGAAAAAAATAATTTATCAAGTATTTCAACTGTTTATGACGTATTTGTAGCTGGAGGTCTAATTGAAGTATTTCCTACTCTAAACAATGCACTTCGCATTGCATTAACTTTACCGGTTTCTAGTGCTTCAACAGAAAGAAAATTTTAAAAATTAAAAATTGTGAAAAACAGATTGAGAACAACTATGACACAAGAGCGACTTGAATTATTGATGATGGTATATTGTGAACAAGACATAAAATGTGACACCAATGCTATCATTAACAAATTTGCATCTCATGGGAACCTTATAAATGAATTTAATGCTTGAAGTTTACACCTATTTGGCTATTTAGTATTTACTAACATATTTATTATTTTATTTTGTACCTATTTATTACATAAATTAAAATAAAATATTGAAGATTATATTTTTTGTAATTTAATTTCAGTGGTGTTGAACTTTTTCATTGATAATTATTCTAATGTGAGTATACTTTCATATGTGTCTATAAATATTAAATACCATTATAATTTTAGCTTTTAAAAAGTGTTATAGAATATAGATGAGTATATAAATTGTTCAATGTTTAATGATATTTTTAATTTTTTTTTAACATTAAACTTGAATGATCTGAAATACTCTAATATTCAAATAAAATATTTTACCTTAACAAATCTAGGTGTATAATAATACATTTATATTTATGTGTGTAAGGAAAGGTTGGTGGGTGGGTGTCCACAGTTTTAGTAATTTGGATGCATATTGTAAATTTACTGTAGCCGCCACTGCTGTTACATAACTACATTCCATATTCATAACATAACATAATATATAATGTAAGATATTTCATCTTTGTAATATAACATTGTTGATGTAACAAAAGCAAGACAGATATGTCATCTTTGATATATAATATTGTTTATATAACAAAAGCATGACAGATATCTATAATAATAATATGTTATATAATATTATAATTTGTCATAAAACGCATATATAATATATTATATATATAATTATCTGCAAAAGCTGTATATGACAGAGGGTGTATATAATCAATATATAATATTATATATTATGTATATATATATATATATATATATCAAATTGTCTTATTTTGCTGTAATTATATATATAAAACATAAAATATACATACATATATATATAGGTATGTATAAGTATATCACTGCAGAGAGCGCTACTCGTTGCAGGCTCATCCAAATATGACCTATCTCCGCGTTTTCATACCCATATTTCTCCCACTCTACCACCTAGTCGACAACGGGCTAGGTACGGGCAGGTTTAGTGGTGGGAATTCGCGAGATTGGACGAATTTTGGTCGCCGCGCGCCTCCCAGTAGTGCTCTCTCAGTGGCACGAGGATATTATCATATTACTTCTTTATCTATGGATATTATATTATACTTGTTTCGTGTTTGTGGTGTATTTCTGACTCGCCCAGTGTACTGCAGTTGTCCATATTTACCGCTCTTGTTTTCTTACGTTAATATAATAATAGGTATAGGTACGTGATTATAATATAGGTACGTGACTGACGTCCGATGAGTACGTAGTGCTGACATGTTCATCATCTGAGTGAATTATAACCATCGATTATCTCCAGCTGCTGTGATAATTTATAAAATATATACATTATCATTCTTGGTAATTATTAGGACGTAAGTATATTATTTATATAAGCTATTGTTAACAATAAATTATAATATTATTATAGGTATAGGAGAAATATATTTACTATAGTAGCCAGTAGGTAGGTACCTTATTTTAATAAGTGATAACTATTATTTTAGTTTGTAACTATACAAGTAGTAATTTATATCCCTTGGGGGTAGATATAGGTACTCATATTATACACATATCCTAAACCTATATATTATATACCTATTAATAATGCACATATATTATAGCTAGTTATTGCAGTTCCTATTTCTTACTTTCTTTTCTAAACGTTACTTATTAGGTTTTACTCTCCTTATCATGGCTGATAATAAACGTAAAAAGTTGAAAAACTGTTCTAAAAGACACATTAGGCGAATCAACAATGAGTTTTGTAGGAGATTAGACGACGGATATTATTCTGATAACACTAATGAAGATGATATTATTCGAGCACCAGAAATTCAATCTACAATTGTACGTGCATCTACATCATCTAATGCAGAACCTAAAATTAATAACGAGAACAGTGGAAAAAATTTACAAATATTTTCTTCAAGTTGTAATAATAGTGCGCAGAATGATGGAAATGAATATTTTTCTAGCTCTAGCAATAATTTTTCATACTGTTCCAGCCCTATCAGTAATTCATGTAATTCTTACGATAGCAGTAATATTAATCTTGTTGAAATTAATAATGTCGATAGGAGTTTAATTGAAAATAACAAGGATGATAATACTGTCACTGATGATTGTAGTAATTTAGACTTGAATTGTAGTTTGTTAGAAGAACAGTTGCGTGAGTGGCATTTTAATCACAATACAACACTAGCATCACTTTCTTCAATGTTAAAAATTTGGTAAAAATTTACAAAGTTTGAGTTACCAAGTGATGCTAGGACTTTACTTAGTACTCCTCGTAGTGTTAGAATAAAGTTAATAGAAGGGGGAAAGTACTGTCATTATGGCCTTAAAAAAGCAGTACATTCAATTATTTTAGCTCTGAAATTAGAGATTGGAAATTTTAAAGAAATTAATTTAACACTTAATATTCATGGACTACCTATTTCTCGGTCCAATCAAAGTTGTTTTTGGCCCATTTTGATATCTGAATTGCGTTTAAAGAAAAAAGTTTTCATAGTAGGCGTTTTTCATGGTTACGGAAAACCTAAGTGTCGTAATGAATATTTAGAAGAATTTATATCAGAATTAGTTCTTTTAATAAACAATGGATTTTTAACTGAAGAATGTGAAATTATAACAGTGGTCTTGTCTGCTTCGATTTGCGACGCACCGGCTAAATAATTTGTATTATGTACTAGTGGACATACAGCATATGGTAGTTGTTCTAAATGTACTATACTTGGGAAATACATTAATAATAGATTGTGTTTTCCATCTGATGAAGAATATTCTGAATTTAATTTGAGATCTGATGAAGATTTTTCTAAATTTGTGTACAAAAATACATATCAACATGGCATTTCTATTTTTACTACATATGTGCCTAGTTTTGGGTCAGTATCATGCGTTCCTCTAGATTATTGTCATGTGGTATGTCTTAGTGTAATGAAGAAACTTATTTATCTTTGGGTTAAAGGACCTCGTTTTTTTAAAACTAAAACCATCCGATATCAAGGTAATTTCTGAAAAATTAATTGAAATGCAACAGTATACTCCAAAAGACTTTGCACGAAAACCAAGAGCTCTCTCTGAGTTTCTAAACTGGAAAGCTACCGAATTTCGACGAGAATTACATTAGCAATAATCCAACAGCAATAGATAACAGGCCCAGTGTCTCCCAAACCTTTAACATTTACTAATTAAAATATACAACAATATAATAATTGTATACAATAATTGCTATGTACTACAGTGCTACCACTACAGCGTGTTAAAAAAGCAAAATATAAAATATAATATAGTATGATATAATATAATATAATATAATATAGTTTAATATAATATAATATAAAACAATATAATGTAATATAATATAATATAAAATAATATAATACCCCTATAATATCCCCCAAACTTGGCAGTAGCCCCCCCCCCCCTCAAAAATAAAAACTAGGACATACAATTTTACTATATTGCAATGGTCTCCTTGCCTTTAATATATTCGGGCCCCACAATCCAAAAGTTGAAATTGCGACTATGAATATAATGTAAGTATAATGTACTATTATGTTAATACCGCACGGCCATACACTCCTTAACACCAGACAACCCATAAGTTAAACCTCATATTTTCAAAAAAATATTTGAAAGTGTTCCGGCAGAGCGCCCGCTTTGAAACCTACATAAAAATAAAGGGCAGGAGGTGTTTAAAAAATTGTAGAAATATCTAAGGGAACACTTTGACCAGTTTCGAGATATAAATTTTCGAAATGGGTACACCCGACCGTGTGCCCGGTAGACACATAATACAGCCTGCCGCGGCTGATTTAGTAATATAGTTTATTTAATTTTAGATACCTACATTCGCGTGGACTAGTATGGGTTTTTTCACCTTTATATTGTAGTGTGTATTAACAATATTAATTGAACCTGATAATTCAGTGGTCTTATCGCGTTACCTATATTTATATGTTTTATTATTTGATGTACTGCGTGCCACTCGTGCCTGCCGACAGGTATATGCGGGCGCTACCTCCAACCTTTCGGCTTTCATGTTTCACAGTAATTAAGCGTTAGAGCATCGTGCAAGGTGATTCATTTTTGATTCTTCATTCTTTCACTTAACTAAAACATATTACGCAATACCAAGAAATATTAGGCAACCAACATTCCTTAACGATTACATAACAATATTTCCGAGACGTACACACACTAAAAAAACATGCCCATATATGGTTATAAAGAAACAACAAGATAAGAAAACATTACGCAACACACGTACATCATTACGTAACCGAAAATTCCACACTATACAAACACCGACGCATGCGCACAAATACAAAAATTAATTGAATGCCAAAAACTGTCGCTAAAACTTTACACAAATGAAAAAAGGACATTAAACACACATGAACACACAACCTATTGAAACAAATACTCCATACAAAAATTACAAAAACCCACAATGACATATGATCAAAATATGTTACTCACTCAAGCACCTAAGCGACAAAATACCACTACTAAAAATTACACGAAGGGAAAATAAGAAAATAGCAACAATATATCATAACGCAAATCAAAAGATAACACCTCATCAAAAATTCGATATAGCACTAACTTACGAAATCATAAAACCAAATATTTTATTCATCAACATAATAAGCTTATACAACTTACACCACAGAAACACTTCCGGTGTGCAAAACTCAACTTAAATGTGCACATATGCGCACTACACAACATTTGGAGAAACAACCAAATGTCGATACCAAGACTATGCGCAACAAGACAAATACGATAGCATTTAACACACGAATTACTTTTTTCATATTAACATTGCAGAAACACTAACGACAAAGTGCAAAAATATAATTTAAATGTACATGTATGCTCACTGTACGACATTCGGTCAAATAAACAGATGTCACTACCAAAACTATGCGCAAAAACAACATTAAAACAAGACACAGTATACGAAACAACCTTCTCATACTGATATCGCCAAAAATCAACAACAATGTGCAAAAACGACATAAAACGTGCGCACCACACCACATTCGGTCAAATAACCAGATGTCACTGCAAAAACTATGCGCGGAAATAATAATAAAACAGCACACAACATACAAAACACCCTACTTATAACAATATAGCCAAAAAGTAACGACAATGTACAAAAATGACATAAAATTTGCATACATGCGCACCATACGATATTTGGTCAAACAAACTGAAATCACTGCTAATATTATGCGCAAAAAGAATCATAAGATGACATTCAATGTAGGGAACACTTTTATCATATAAAATTTGCAAAAAACCCAACGATATTATGCTAAAACACGACATGAATACGCGCACATGCGCAATTCACATAACAAAGACGAATAATCTATTGTAACGTTACGTAATAACAATAGAGTGGGGATAAGACAATCGCTTCCTTATATAAACGCCACGCACAAACAACAAAGACAGTGAGACACTAGGGATGGGAATAATGACTCATTTAACTGATTCAGATCATTTGGATCAGCTCACACAAATGATCCGTTCAAATGACCCGTTCATATCGTTCAATGCATCATCATCCTTGTAGTTCTTTCTTCTTTATCAGTTTACCCGTATCTGAGTCGCAGTCAACAGTAGTTACTGAACCGGCAGCTCCGTAATTTTCCATTTGACCCAAAATATTTGTATCATTAATTTATTGAACGAATCAGGTGACCGCAAAATGTAAATTGTTAGGCCTAGAATAGTAGAATTATCCACAGTAGAACGAATAATGTCGTCAATCGTGTGACCGACTTTACTAGACAAGACTTCATACGAATTGAAATTATTGAATATTTAGTTAGGTATTTTATTTTCAAATACGATGATACGATATACTTATATACCTAGGTAGTTTACAACAGAAGAAGTAACTACGGCTGTTAGTAATTTGCCGTCTGGCAAAGCGCCGGGGCCTGACCTAGTGCCGAATGAGATGATCAAATTGACTTGCAGGAAGTTCCCTCAAACTTTTGTTGGTTGTTATAACGCTTGCTTGGAGGAGGCCGTTTTTCCATCCCGATGGAAGCGCGCCAAATTGGTCCTGCTCCACAAGGGTCAGGGTAAACCAAAAGATGCTCCTTCCAGTTACAGGCCAATTAGCCTCCTAGACGGTGCTGGAAAAGTCTTTGAAAAACTGCTGTTGAACAGGCTAAATAGGCACATTGACTCCGTTGGTGCCCTCAGCAACCTACAGTTTGGATTTAGACGGTCGAGGTCCACCGTGGATGCAATAGATGAAGTCTTAAGGGCAGCCGAGGCTGCTGGTAGTGGCCAAGTGCGGAATAGGGACCTTTGTGTCCTGGTGACAGTTGACGTTAAAAACGCGTTTAACTCTGCGCCCTGGCGGTCGATTGACGCCGCTCTACAGAGATATGCAACACCCGAGTACTTGGTGAAAGTGCTCCGGGATTACATGAGCTCTAGGGAGTTAGAGATAAATGATGACGTTTGTCTTCCGGTCACGCGTGGAGTCCCGCAAGGGTCGGTGTTGGGACCCACGTTGTGGAACTTGTTTTATGATGATGTTCTCCGACTCCCTGTGGGAGGCGGCATCAAATTGGTGGCTTTTGCCGATGACATTGCGATCGTAGCCACAGCCCACAACGCTGATCTCATGGAGGAATTGGTCAACCCAACCCTGGATACTATTGTTGAATGGATGACGAGAAATGGATTACAACTTGCGCCTGACAAGTCGGAGTGTGTGGTGCTGACCAAGAAGCGTGCATATCGGGACCCTGAGCTCTACATCCAAGGCTGCCGAATCAATGTTCAAAAGTCTATCAGATACCTAGGAGTGCAGTTAGACACCAGACTGTCATTCGGGGTTCACGTCGAGAAGGTGGCTGCAGGCGCGCGGAAGGCCGCTGCAGCGATCGGGAGGCTAATGCCGAATGTAGGTGGGCCGTCGCAGGCAAAACGACGCTTGCTTATGAGTGTCGTACACAGCCGACTGCTGTACGGCGCTCCCGTATGGGCAGAGGGGGTGCAGGGAGTTAAGAAATATAAACATACCCTACTGCAGGCGCAGAGGTGTGCTGCACTAAGGGTAGCAAGGTGCTATAGGACGGTTTCGGACCTGGCAGCTACGGCACTAGCCAGAATGCCTCCGGTATTCCTGCTAGCCGCCGATCGGAAGAGTGCCGCTGCAGCAAAGAAGATGGGTGATGGACAAGCAAGATTGGGAGTGAGCGGGATCCTCGAACAGTGGCAAGCGCTGTGGGACTCCACTACTAGTAAGGCGACGTGGACGATCAGACTCATCCCCGACCTTTCGAGGTGGTGGCACAATGGGCCCAGGGAGGTGAGTTTTCACATGGCCCAAGTGCTGACTGGACATGGTTGCTTCCAGAAGTACCTGTGGGAGAGGGAAATAGTAGCCAGTCCAGCGTGTGTTCATTGCGAAGCGGAGAATGACGATGCGGAGCACACAGTTTTCCACTGCCCTTTTTGGGCTCCGGTAAGAACCGAGCTGCTATTGGCCATTGGAAGACCAATAGTGCCGGAGGATGTAATGGAGCTGATGTGCGGGCCGGAGAGGAACCAGATGCCAACAGACCAGATCCGGAGGAGAGCTCTGTTGACGGCAGCCAAGAGGAACGGTGACATATTTTGCTTGATGGTGGAGCGGATAATGGGCCAGAAGGAAGAGATGGAGAGGCAGAGACAACGGATTAGCAGATAGTTAAGTGTATTAGTGTGGGCCGAAGTGCCAAATAGGGTGGTTAGAAGCCCCCAATTATGTACTACGTTGTTTAATATTGTATTCTATGTATAATGTATTGTCCATTTATTGTCATCAATAAACGATGCGGCTAGGGAGGCAGCAATGGGGAAACCTACTTCCCTCCCTGGTTGCGATTCAACCTCGGAAAAAAAAAAAAAAAAAAAAAGGTAGTTTGTACAATAGAAATAAGAATAGAGGGGACGTCACACCTGCATGTGTTGTATCAGTCGTTAAGTCTTACGACTTACCTACACACACGTAACATAACAAAATAATATGTACGTTCAGAATAGTTTAATTCTTAATTTTAAAATAAACTGAGTGATCGTTTATACAATTTAAAGATACAATTAGATATCATTAAGTAATCTAAAACTCTTTATGTTTTTGTTTGTATTTACAATTTGTAGCAATTTTAAGATGAATATAACTTTCTTAAATCAAGTTATAAATTAATATGTATAGTAAATTCACTCAAATTTCAAAATAAAAAGTTAAATGGATTATTTTGAACACAAAATTTGGCGTGTTACGCGTGTGTGAGACAGAAAATAACACATAGGTATGGATGTAGGCGTGTATAGCGTCCTCTTCAGTCTCAACTTTAAAAATTGAAAGTTGAAATTTAAAAACCTACAAGCTTCAGTGAAAGTTGAAATATAAAACAATGTTTCCAATAATAATATAGGTACATATTATGTTATAATTGCATTAAATATTAATTCACTATATTTTGTTTAAAATTGAACTGAATATAAATTTAGGTTTAAATTCAGTACTTGAATTCGAAAAGAAATTAATGAGGGACTCAAAAGTGTAAGCAAAATTAGCGTACTTAAATATTTAAATATATTATTGATTAGGATATAATAAATTGAAGGTTCACTATTCCATGGTCTATAATATAATATGGTACATAATGCAATTAAAATTTATTTATTCCCTCAACAAAATACCAAAATAGTATACGATATAATTATATATAATTTGTAAATGATTCATTCAATTTTAGTAGGTAACTGTAGTACTGTACTCTAATTATTTGTAAGACTACTGAAACTGGCAGCTTATGACAATTTAAATATTTATTTTTATTTCTTCAACCATTGTAATATATAGCTAGCAACATTATTTTTGTAATTTGTGTTATTGGTATACATGCATGGCTACTCAATCTTTATAATTATATTATACTTATACATATATTGATATATGTTTGATAAACAGAAAGTTGACATGTCTCATCTTGTAATAGCCAATACGTACATATGTCATACTACACTGTTACTATAGGTATATATATACCATATACCATATCCATAGAATAACTTGAAATAGACATGTTCCAACCAGTAACAGAGAATAAACATATTTATTCAAAACAAAATTAAAATAATGCATTATTAGATTTATCAATAATATGTTAAGTGACAAATGGTCCTATTAACTACTGTGATGTTGTAGAAAGAGGATTGTAATTTGATTTTGGTGTTGTATTTATTTAAAGTTTAAATTGTTCATTAAAAACAATCTATATTTTTATTAATTTGAGGCATAATTTTACAATATACAAGGTAAATTATATTGTTATTATATATAAGTGAATATCATAATTAAATAAATAATTATGAACCGCAAAAGGAGTACAATCTGGAACCACTTCTCAATTAAGTCAGATACTCAAGCTAAATGTAGCTATTGTATGCAGGTTATAAAGTACACAGGTGGATCTACAGGTAATCTTTTAAGGCATTTAAAATCCAAACATGTTACTATACAACTAACAAGAAATAGTTTAAATAACATAGAAGAATCGGTTAATCAAATAGAGGTTAGCGTAGATAATCCTAATGAAATTGCAGAACCTGTAGATATAATGCAATCAACTTCGTCATCGATCCGTATAGCTCCATCCACTTTGTCATCAATCGGTATAGCTCCATCCACTTCGTCATTAATCTGTATAGCTCCATCCACTTCGTCCAGACAAGGAAATATAACTAACTATATAACAAAACCACTATCTATATCCAAATCAAAAGCTATTGATCAGCAAATAACAAAATGTATAGTTAAGCATTACCATCCATTTTCTTTGGTTGAAGAAACTGAATTTCGCAATTTAATTCGTATGCTTGCTCCAAATTATTCGATACCGTCTAGAAAAACAGTCTCTAATAATTTACTTTTACAAGTGTATAATGATACCTTTCAAAAAGTTTCAAAGGATGTACAGGATGCTTCTTCGGTAGCATTGACTACCGATGGTTGGACATCAATAAATAATACAAGTTTCATAGCTATATTAGCACATTTTATTAACTCAGAAACAAAATTATGTTCTCGTCTCTTAGGTTGTATTAATTTTAATGAGAAACATACAGCTACTGAATTATCTGTGTTTTTAAAAGATGTTGTTCGAGAATGGAAATTAGAAAATAAGATATCTGCTGTCGTAACAGATAATGCTTCTAATATAAAAGCAGCAATTCGACAAACAAATTGGAGACATGTTTCATGTTTTGCCCATGTTTTGAATATTGGTATACAAAATGGACTCTTACAATTACAGACAGTTATGAAAAAAATTAAAGATATAGTGGAATATTTTAAAAGGAGCTCCAGCGCTCTTTTAAAACTTGAAAGTGTACAAAAACAAACAGGAGTAGAACATTTAAAACTTATACAAGAGTGTAAGACACGTTGGAACTCTGCATACCATATGATGTCTAGAATATTAAAAATTAAGGAATCAGTGCTCTCTACTTTGGCAATCATGAATAATGATTTAAATTGTATAAATAATCAAGAATGGGAACTAATTGATTCAGCATGTAATTTACTTGGTATTTTCAACAATGTAACAGAGGAAATGAGTGCCGATCAAAATGTTACAATATCAAAGCAAAACTTATATTATAGATTTTTAACTGACCATTTAAATACATTTATTTACAACAACAATTCCAATGAAATAATCATTAATATGGCAACTGAAATAAAAAAACTCTTTTTAACTATTTTAAAAATCTAGAAGATTATGAAATTCAAGGACAATCAATAATTCTAGACCCAAGATTTAAAAAATTTGGTTTTGCAAGTGAAACTAAATTTCAAATTTTAAAAACAAGTTTACAGCAAAAATTACAAGCCTTAAATGTTGAAAATGAATTATTAGTACCAAACGAATCAAATGAACAAACAGCGATTGAAATGCCATCAACCAGTACTTCAGATATTTGGAAGAGTTTTGATGAACGAGTTAGCTCACTTGTAGGTCAAAAGAATTCAACAGTCGCATGTGTAGTTGAAATGGACAAATATCTAAATGAATGCCTCCTCAGTCGTCACATGGATCCATTAAAATGGTGGTCAGAAAGGAAACATATTTATCCTCGATTATAATATGAAATGATGAAGAGAAGTTTGTGTGTGCCAGCGACGTCAGTACCTAGTGAACGGGTATTTTCTAAAGCTGGGCAAGTGTTGACACAACGTCGAAGTAGACTAACAACTTCAAAAGTTGAAAAGCTTATTTTTGTGCAAGCTAATTTATAAGAACGTTATTTATTTTAAAATTATTCAATTAAAAAATGTAAAATCTTACAAGTCAGAACTCAGAAGTAGTAAAATAATGTTAAGGGGCCTGCACGCGACCTGTTTTTTTGCTCAAAAACATGCCTTACAGGAAAAACTCTCACGCCTCGTAGATTGGTCCGATTTCCGTAATTTTTTTTTTGTTAGATAGAGGAAGACTTCTTACAGGGCGCATTGGACTTGGATTTTCAACATTATTTTTCTAAATCTTATGTTACAAGTTTGAATTTAATCAATTTTTACAACTTTTTAGTTTTTGTATTATTTTTTATTTTTAGCGACATAATCAAAAATCGAAGTCCAATGCGCCCTGTAAAAAATATTCCTCTATCTAACAAAAAAAAAATTACGGAAATCGGGAACGACACATCCCTATGAGACACCAGTAGAATGTACACACAGCAGTACACTCCACGCAACACGTCAGTTCAACACAGAGGACCACCCTGATGGCGGCCGCGGATAAACCATACAACATCGACCAGTTTCTCTTTTTTTTGACACAAGATTAATCATTCTCTACAAAGTTAACTTACTATTGTTTTCGTTTTGAAACCAGGTATGAGCTCACTTTTGGTATATTCATTTTGCTATTTTACCATAACAACATTGTTATTTCAAATTTTTACAATCCTAACAACCCTTCAGTTATGTTAAGTCATGTAGGGAAGACATCCACATACTCCTATTCAAGTTATACATTCCTAAGAATACTAGACATAAATCAATTGTATCGTACATGAAATGCATTTTAACTCGTAAAGTATCTACATAAACTTCACTTCTATTACTGTTTGTCAATTCATTGTCTCTAATAGACATTGGATTGCCAAAGTATATCTGCAGTTTAGATCTCGAGCAAGGGACCGGGCAGACTTATGCGCTGGGCCGAAGTACCTTCCTCTTAAGCGACTAAACTTCAAATACTGGGTGATTCTTTTATCAAACAACACTCATTATTTCAAAAGGTGTACATTTTTTTGAAGATATTTTTTTACATAGTTTCAAGTTGCTTATAAAACAACGTTTTTATTAAAAAATTATATTTTTAATTATTTTTATCCTTATAATTTTTTAAGTTTTTTACTTTTTTGAATGACAACATAGGGTTTTAATTTTATATTCTAAAGTAGAATATTTTTCTTAGTATTTTGATACATGAAAATTGAATTTGGGGCGGGTAGTTTATGAGTTATAAGTAATTAAAGTATAGACGAGCGGTGAAGTGGACAAACATTTCGCGGGGTAACCCCGAACCACTCCACTCCGCTCGTCTAAACTTTAAATACTTATAACTCATAAACTACTCAACCCTAATTCGATTTTCATGTATCAAAATACTAAGAAAAATATTCTGCTTTGGAATATAAAATTAAAACATTATGTTCTTATTCAAAAAAGTAAAAAACTTAAAAAATTATAAGGATAAAAAATATTTTCAAAAAAATTTACACTTTTTGAAATAATGAATGTTGTTTGATAAAAGAATCACGCTGTATATAGGTAGTTGAAATGAATGTTATAAAAATATTAAATAAAAACGAATAATAAACTTCACTTCTATTACCGTTTGTCAATTCATTGTCTCTACCAGACATTGGGTTGCCAAAGTATATCTGCAGTTTAGATCTCGAGCAAGGGACCGGGCAGACTTATGCGCTGGGCTGAAGTACCTTCCTCCTAAGCGACTAAACCTCAAATATATAAGCAATAGAAATGCGTGCTATACTAATATCAATCAGAAAACTAGTAATAAAATTCATTCATAGATACTTCTTGAAATAAACAGACAGATACCATAATAATATATAACAGATATGCATGGATTCATAAGGTCAGCACATAAGTAACTGTAGTAAAAAAAACAATCTTCATAGGTAATATCCTCATCTCCCATCAAAAGATATCCTTACAAACTCCATTCTATCACAATCGTAATGAGCCAACAGTGTGTAATATAGAAATGTATACTTAATTGCAGTAGGATATTGTAGTGTAAATCGTAAAGTATAAATAACGTGCATCGACTCACACCAATTAGAAATGTACTCCAATCAATATTCCAACGAGAGTCTACACGTTTTTATTCACGACAATACAAGGTAAGTGAAAACACATACACTATATAATCAATAACAAATTATTATTTCGGTATTCAGATAAAAATATTCTGTAGTAAGATAAAATGTACGATAAACGCACCACTTCAATCATTCACACCCTTTGTAGTTTACCGCCACTGCGTATTCCCCCGACCTCCCCCATCTTCGTTTATTTTATTCTACTACGGTAAGTTTGGATAAAAAAATTAAAAAGTTGCTTTAAACAAATAAAATATAAAAATAATTGTAGGTACTTCCTATTTTGTACAAAAATAGTAAGGTAAAATGTTGTATTTATGAAATTAAAATATAAGTTTGCAAGTATTTTCAAGTATTAAACCAACATTCATTACACCATTCTAAATTTATTTATAATTATCTCACATCAATATGATACACCTTACTATTTTTAAATGGCAACCTACTATACATGTTGGAATCGGTCTATACAATTCCAATTAATAATCTTTAATTTTTTAATAATATTTTTTAATTTCTCTTTATTTCTAAAGGAATTGTGCAATAGCACCCATAGACAAATTATTATTAACACTGCGATTCTATGCAACAGGAAGTTTTCTTATTACTGCTGGTGACTTTCTCGGTGTTAGTAAATCTTCTGCATGTGTAATTGTTCGTACTGTTAGCACAGCTATTGCAAGCCTATGTCATCAATTTATTTGTATGCCAACTACAGATGAAGAAGTGTATACATTACAGAGATGTTTTTTACAAAATTGCTAGATTTCCGAGAATCAAATAGATTGCACACATATTCGAATTCAAAGCCCAGGTTATTGATTATTATTAACTATTATTACTAACTTCATATAAAAAGAATTTATATTGTAATGCTATACACAGGTGGAAGTCTGGTATCTTAATCACCAATAAAACATCTGTACTAACACCTCCTCAATTATTATATTTTAATGCCCTAGGGTGTTACTGCCTATGATGTTGCAAAAACAAATTTACTCTTTTTTACTAGCAGATATATATTTTTATGTATCACATAAAATAATAATTATAATAATATTTTAGGAGGTCATAATGCTGAGTATTTTCGAAACCGAAAAGGATATTTTTCATTGAACGTCCAAACAGTTGTTTCGCCTGATTTAAAAATAATGGACATTGTAGCTCGCTGGCCAGGATCTTGCCATGATCAAACAATTTTCAAAAATTCAAATATTTACAGTAAATTGGTTAATGGTAAATGGGGAAATAGCTTAATTGTTGCAGTTAGTGGATATAAAAAATCCAGTCATATTGTGACTCCTTTTATAAATCCAAGGGGAAATATTGAAGAGCTGTACAATGAGTCAATAATTAGAACCAGAAATCCAGTAGAAAGAACATATGGAGTTCTTAAACGTAGATTCCCAATTTTATCTCTTGGTCTACGCTTGAAGCTAACTACATCACAAGCTATAATTGTTGCTTGTTCTATATTACATAACATTGCATGCGATAACAATGATTTAGAAGCCCCTGATCTCATAGACGTAGTATTACCACCAAATGAAATAATCAATGTTAATCATGAAGTAATAGATGAAGAAGGTTGTGCAAGACAACAATTGATAAGTGAGTATTTCTCTAGACTATAAACATTAGGTATCTTCATTTAAAACATACAAATTTTGATTTGCTTAGATAAAATTTTATTATTTAAAAAATTAGGAATTATATACTATTATAAATAAATATAAATATACATTTTTTACTTATATAATAATACTACTATTAGGTATCACTATTAGTAATAATATATTTTATTATTTCATTTTAATTACTATTTGATATTAATAATAATATATTTTATAACTATTTTTTACTTATTTCACAATTTTATATTAATTATAATTACAATGAAAATACAATTATATTTAGGAATTACAATTTTTCTGTTTATTATTTATTATTGATGGTTCAACATTTTAAGAAAGTATTAAAAAAAAGCTTTTTATAGCTTTTATTAGCTTTATATTAATTTTTTAATTAAATTAAATTAAATTTTTTTTTTTTAATTTCTAACTCAACTCTTAAGATCTCAAGTTTTAATGCATGTTCTTCTGCTATATATTTTAATTTTGTTTCGTGTTCAATAGACGACTGTAAAAGTTCTTGTCTAACAAGTTGTTGTTGCAGAGATACCAACTCCATTTTGGTCTCTGCAAGGTCTTCAAACTTTTCACCGGCTGAGGTCTTGCAATGTTTCTTATTGTTAGTTACAAATTTTTAAGAAGACATTGTAGTACATATTTAAATGTCTGCATGTAGCAGAAAATTAATATTTTATTTAAAATTATAAAAGCTCACATTGTTTTTGATGACTGTTATTAAATACGTATTTTGGATTTTTAGATGTTGTTCTTAGCATTTTTGTTGAGTTTAAAGGAGACCAAGTTGAATTGTTTTGATTATTATCTGATAAACAGTAATTCAATTTTTATAATTTCAGGCATTTTGCTATTAAAGTTCTACACATTTTATTTTTGTTTAATATTTGAATCTAGACCTACGTTGCTCTTGATTTTCATCTGTAAAAATATATGATTCTTTATTTATATCTGTATCAACTATATCTATCTCTTCTAGTGAAGAAGATGTAGTTGGTGGAAATTGTTTGATTACTATAAATCATAAATATATTAATATTAATATAATTATATTTATTATATTAATTGAAATTATATTTATCACAAGGTTCATAATACAATATTATGAAGTAAATAAACACAGAAATAATAATAATTACTATTAGTAAACGACAAATTTGCATGCGTTGATGGCGCATCATCATCAAACTCCTCCTCATTTACAACATATTCTTCAACACAATCGTCCGTATTTGTTTCTTGTGTTGTGATGGATTTTTGTTCATAGAAATAAATTGGAAAATAATGCATTAAGTAAATATTTTCATCATAATGTCAATTAATTTAAATATACAATACATTTATTATCAAAAAAAAATTTCAGGCTTATCTCATTCTAATAGTTTTTTTTTCAAATTTTATATTTGAAATAATTTACAATCTATACAATCTATCTCTAATAGTGTAGGGGGTTGAGTAGGTATTGTTTAAGCGGACATTAAAAGAACGATTTGACACATATGATTTTAATTTATTATTTTTTCACAAAAAAATTACATCAACTAAAAATATATTGTTTTCGTTGAAAACTAATTTTTTGTTTTTGTATGGTAAAAGTAGGTAATAAGTTATTATTTAAGATGTTTTTTGTATATTTTTTAAATTTTTGAGAGAATATAATGAAAATATTTGAAGGTTTTTTAGAGAATATTAGCATCATATTTTGGGTATTTTAAGAGAATATCAATCCGGTCTTTAGTAATAACAATGTTTAAAATTTAAAAAATAGCATATTAAATTTTGTATGGTTTCTGTATTGGGATTTTTTAAGGAAACTGAAAATCTAATAATTTTAAAATAGTTCCATATTAATAGTTCACACCACTTTTTATTTTACTTTTTTCATTAAAATTTAATTTTGAATTTTATATTTCATCATATTATTTATTGAAATATTGAATTTATGCAAAACTAAAAAAGGTCTTATAGATTAACATCACTTTAAATTGTAGTACCTACTTAGTTAACATACTTACCTATATAGATACCAAAGTAGACACACTATCATAAAATATATTACTTATTTCATATTTGTTTGTTTTTTTCTTATAAAGTTTTTATATCTATTTTCATTTAACTTATTTACTTCAATATATTAATAACTATTATGTAATTATTTCTACAGTGTTTTTGGCGAACATGAAAATATAAGTCAGTGTCTATTTAAGAATAGAGAAACTGAAGATGATTTAGGGGTTATGTATATTGGTTATATACTTGAACAAGTTAATCTGATCCTGCATTATTATTCACCAACTCAAACTCAGATTTCTACTCATGCTATAAAGTGTGTATGGAAAGTTGACAAAATCCTAACTGGGAACAGCGTTATCCAAGGTAATAATTATAGTTATATGAACAGATTATTTGATTTTTATAAACAATGCATTTTATCTTTAAAATTAAAAACAACTGATTTATTATTATAGAAACAATATCCCAAGATTTTAATTCACTTCAAGGTGATAAGTATGCACAAACGGAACATATTATATTCTATCTGCAATTAGGGGACTCACAAAATATAAATTATTGAACAATTCTATGTCAGCTGGAAGTTGTATATTTTAACTGCATTGATGTTAGAATGTACAATTTTAATCCTATTATTACTAAGAAATTCATTGAACTCACGGCTGGTACTCAACCACTGACAAATTATAAATATTATACTATATGTAATATTGAAATGTGGTAAATTGGGTTTAATTTAATACAAATATACTTCGCTTAGCCGCAGCCCGCAGACCATCTCCAATCTAACATTTTTTATTAATTATTTATATTATTATTTTTATTATTATCACTAGGTGTCTGGACCGGGTACAAAAGAGAGGAAACATCATTGTTGGCCGAGATTAACCCTTTCAGACCCAAAGTACACTGTAGTGTACCGTAACTATTAATAATTACGACACCTGATAAAATTAAAATATCTTGGCGGTCATTGTCTTATTTTCAAGTAGAACTTGTGTAGATATCGAAAAATATAATCATATGTTAACTCAATGTGTTATAACTATTAATTACGTTTGTTTTATCACAAAAAAATTGAATAAGTTTGATAAGAAAATTTTGGATTTTTATCATTTTTTTTTCTAGTGTCACTAGTAATTTTATCGTTCCGTTGATTTTTCCTATAGTCAAAGACATTGTAAATATTGAAAAAATATCACTTCTATCTCCATCTAGCGGTTTGTTTATAATTTACCGCCGTTGGTAACGAAGTACACTGTGGTGTACGCTGGGCCTCTACGACGTCATTCTATTCGGATTCGGAACGATCGGAACGTTCCGCGTTAAAAATAGCTCCCACATTTTTTATGCACAGAATAATTATTATTTTTATCAACAATAATGTGCTAATAAAAACTATTATAATATGATAATATAACACATTATTATGTCATACACACACACATATCAATGACAACTCGTTTATCTCTGATTATTGAAATATTATTTAATATTTTACATTATAGTTCGTTATTAAATATATTATATCCGTTATACAACTTATACCTATTCATTTTTATTGGACCTAGTGTAAACAATAAATTAAAATGTTAAGTGATGGTGATATTTTGGCTCTTTTGGGAGATGGTGATGTGTCTGATATAGGTAGTGAAGTTGACGAATTGGAAGATGATAATTGTTTTCCAATTGATGAGTTTGACCAATTGTTAAATGATTTTGACGATTTATCCTCGGACATTTTGCCCGATATAGAGGAGGTTGAACCTGATTTCATAAATACAAATAAACGTGATATTCATTGGGTACAAAAACCATTCGAGCCACCTACTATTAATTTAGAAGATATAGAAAGTGAGTATATTGATACACTTAAAACTCCCATACAATATTTTTCTGAATATTTTGGGGACGATATTTTTGTTAAAATAGCATTTAATACTAATTTGTACGCAACTCAAAAAAATTTGGGCTCAAAGTTCAAACTCACCGACGAACACGAGATAAAAACGCTAATTGGTATACACATGCTAATGGGATGCCTGAAATATTCCCGTGTACGCATGTATTGGCAAAAAAGATTTTTTGTACATTTGATAGCTGATAATATGAGCCGAAATCGATTTTTTAACTTAAGAACTAATTTTCACGTAATTGATAACAATGATATACCACCATGTAATAAGGATAAGTTTATAAAAGTCCGGCCTCTGTGTGATAGTTTTTTACGAAAATGTAAGAGCCTACCCGTGGAAAAAAACATTTGTGTGGATGAGCAAATGGTACCTTTTAAAGGCAAGTTGTGTATCAAACAATATGTAAAAAATAAGCCAATCAAATGGGGAATCAAGATTTTTCTATTATGTGGAGAAAGTGGTTTGGCTTACAATTTGTTTCTTTTTCAAGGTTTTTCCGAATTAGACCCTGAAAATATTAAAACGTATGGTTCTGGAGGCTCAGTTGTTTTACGTCTAACCGAAAACATAAAACCAAATCGTCATTTTCTATTTTTTGATAATTATTTCTCGTCCTATGGGCTTTTTGAAAAACTACTGCACGATAAAATATATGCTGTTGGTACAATCAGGGCCAATTGGTTTGCCAAACCACCTTTTTTGTCTGATAAATTGATGCGAGAATTGGGAAGAGGAACATCGTTTGAAATAACCACAGACCAACCGAATAACTACAATATAGGTTTACTCAAAAGGTATGATAACAAGCCAGTGCATTTAGGTTCAAACTTTGTTACATCTGGGGAACTTGATGTGGTTCGTAGATGGTCTAAAAAGGAAAAAAAGTATGTTGACATAGAAAGGCCTGAAATTGTTCGTATTTATAATCAATCAATGGGAGGAGTGGACAAAATGGACCAGATGGTTAGTTATTATAGGATTTTTATTAGATCAAACAAATGGACATTAAGAATGGCCATGCATTTTTTTGATTTGGCTATATGTAATTCTTGGATCCAATATAAAAAACACGCAGAAATTTTGAAAATTCCAAAAAAAAAATTATGGATTCGATGGATTTTCGTATGGATATCGCAGAAAGTTTGATACGCGTAAATAAACCAAGCACGCCAAATAGAAAAAGAGGACGTCCATCAGCACAGGCGGAACCAGTACCAGAACAAACATACACGAAAAGAAACGTGGTAGATTCAGCGCCTCCAAATATTGATGTACGTTTAGATGGAACATATCATCGTGCATTAGTCGACGAACGAAAATATGCAACGAAGTGTAAACATCCAACTTGCAAAAGAAGAACACATACGTTTTGTAGCAAATGCAATCTTCATCTATGCTTGGATAGGACAAGTAACTGTTTTGACAAATATCATACAAAGTAATAATGTAGTTATGATAAAACCTATTTTTAATTATTAATTTTTAATTCTTTGGTATTATTTATTTGTTACGAATTTACTTATAGGTACCTAAAAAGGACTGCTATTTTATTTTATTTTAATTTTTTGTTTTTAGTTTTCATTTGTTTTTATACACAATATGTTTTTATTTTATTATATACAACGTCAAAAACGTATTTTATATTTTACTGATTTTAATTATATCATATTAATTATATTATGTTGTTTACGTATCTATACAATAAAAAAATATATGATTATATGTTTAAAATTGTGTAGTTACATAACTTGAATATCAAAATTTGTCGAAAAATAGATTTCCGTTAATAGTTATCCCAAGAGGCCCAAGGTACACTGTAGTGTACTTACCTGTAACCTGCTGAAAAAAAATTCAAAAATTATGAAACTCGCAAAAAAACTTAATTATATCATATTAAACCATATTATGAAGAAAAAAAATTTTTTTTTCAAACAACATTAATTTGGGTCTGAAAGGGTTAATGTTCATTGTCTATTTCAGACAAACATTGTGGTCAGTAGAAAGATGTGTACAGTGCTTGAATTGAAAAGAAGGGGGGATGCAGAAATATAAAAAAATGTTATACTAATATACTGTAATATTTAAATTTCTTAATGATTACAGATCAAGATATAATTAGAAAAGAAATTTTACACTAAAATATATATAAGCAGGGGTACTCCGTCCCCCTTTCCACAATTCAAGCACTGGATGTATAAGAAAAATGCAAGACGATTTTAAGTAATAGTTTTTATATTTTATAAAGTGGCCATGCCACCTGCACTGCCGCCGCCTCCCTTATCACCACCACCACCTCGCCGACGCAGCTCCCGCTGATATCTCCCAGGACGCGGTTTCTTGGCCTGACACAGCTTTATGCAC